CAAAATGGAATCGCAGACGAAAAGGAAGCCCAATTGGAATGCTGACGAAACCCTTGCCTTAACTAACTTGGTAGATGAAAATAAACATATTCTGAGAGGGAAACTAGGACCATTATTGACATCAGACATGAAAAATCGGACATGGCAAAGCATTGCGCAAACACTGGCTGCAATGGGTGTTGGACCAGCTAGGACAGCTTCAGGGGTGGAGAAAAAGTGGCATAACATTTTCTCCAAATCTAAGTCAGAAATATCTGATCACAGGAGAGCTATTACTGGGACAGGTTGGTAATTACACCAACACTTTGAAATGTTTCACTCGATCCGTGTTCATCTCAATCATGACTTTGTATTAGTGTATGTATCCTTCAGCAATAATGTTAAACTCAATATGAGCCTTTCTATGCATTAAACTGTTTTTTTTAAAACAATCATTCACAAATGGTCGAAGAGGATTGAAATTTCCGCAGTTCTATTTTTCGTAGAACACACATAGCCCTATAGTTTACATTTTACCAAGGAGAGATAAAAGGGAAATAACCCAAAGAAAAATATGAAGGGGTGCCCCACAGGATATTATAAATAAAAGCAATATTATCTGATTATGTTGTAACGGTGTCTTATTATAAATCTGGAGCATGGAAATATAAATAAGTCCGTTTCAGGGTTCTACTGACATCTCCATTTATTACATTCACAGATGAACACATAGGATAGCTGGAATAATGGAACAATGAAGGAATTTGGAATAATGCCCTGAAAAATCATAATAACAAATAATAAATACAGAGCATAAAATATTCTGATATATCCGTATCAATATAGTAATTACAATCTGCGGTTAACAGATACGCTGCATAAAGGGAGGTAACTCTGTACATGATTTACATACAATCAATGCCCCCTTTAATATTACTTTTTGAAAAATATAAAAACATATATACGACAAAAACTGATGTATATGCTGCAATAATGTCTACACAGACTTTACTATTTCAGGATTGTCATAAAATATATAAAAACATTAATATCATAAATATCATACCAATCTATGGGACTGAGCCTCTCCCATTCATTGTAGTCACAATATGGCTCACTGTACACGTATGTCCAGATCATAAAACTACAAATTATCATAGTTTACATAAGTAAACCTATCATCATAAAAACATCTAGTAGATATATATAAAATAAAAAATACTTTCAATAAAACAGTTACTCCTTAAATACTGACTCTCAAATCAGATTCTGACTGTGCTAGTGCTATGGAATTAACTTAACAAAATTACAGATTTTACAGTTAAATCAAATATTAGAAATCATATTAAAATTAGTATAAAAATGTTATCTTACCTTAATAGAGAAAAGTATTGTCTCTGTCAATGTCAGAAAGTCGTAATTATAAAACTTGGTAAATACAACCCTCTCTGGACAAATACTGGACAAAGAATGACCATAACGAACAACAACTTTTTGGAGGGAAAAATACTGAACCAATAAAACACAACCTTACAAAGTCCAAACCAATGAAAACAGTGAATACTTCAAACCAAAGACCAGAACCTTCATAACCCAAGGCAATAATAATTAAGTACAGGTACTGCCTGTTCTACTTGGGTGACCTTTAAAGATTTAATAATGCATTTATATTTACAATTTAAAAACATATGAAATACATTATAGATTTATTAAATAAATTAATAAATCTAATACTGTAACAATGTTATTTCATTCTTTGGTTTAAAAAATATATTAGATTTATTAACTCATTTCACCTTGTGTGACAATTTAAAATTGTGTTTCTTAATAAAAGTGAAAAGTGTTATTATTTATAATGCTAATAACATTTGGAAAGGTAAAATAAAGAATGGGAAAAAAATTATACTAAATCTAACTCATTTTAATTTTGTAAATGAAATCATTATTATTAAATTATAGATAAATGAAAAGAAAAATATACTTAAAATGTTAAAATATATATTAATAATATATATAAAGTGCACTGAAACAAATATGATTTTATCGCTTTTAATGTTTTGGTGTACATATCTAACAAAATTTTTATATTAATATTTGTATTTATTTTAAAGGTGGGGGTCCTCCTCCAAAGGCACTAAGTGCGATTGCCGAGGCTGTGTCCAGTGTTGTGGGGGAGAACAACACATGCTTGACTGGTATTGGAGGAGATGCAGACACAACGCTTATACAGCTAGGTCTTCTAGGAGAGGAACCATTGTAAGTCAATAAGGGTATACATGTAGATGAATTCATCAATTTACATGTAGAAAAAAAAATATTGTTGTTTTCACTTTCAGGCTAAAAAAAATATTGAGGGTAGGTAAACATTTCTTTTATGTTTGAAATAATTTAAATAAATCTAAGTTACACCAATGAAAAAAAAATATGTTGCTTTAAAAAGTTTATGTGTCACACAATTTTAGAATAAAATTTTCATAAATCTGACAAAAAATTGAAAGTCAAGATCTTCACTGCAAAAGCATTAACAAAACAAATTAGAATTAGGAAAGTGGAAACAATTTTTTTTTCATAGCTAGCTTATATGTAAAACTGACAGGCAGGTGTACATTAATGCTGGGCAATTAGATTAGAAAAGTTAGCACACTTGAGCTTTTGGCTCAGACGAGCCAAAGGAAGAGGGATTTGACTGCAAATAATTACTAGTATGCAAATAAAAAAGCATAGACTAAAATAAGAGAATTGTCATTTAAATTTTATTTCAGTATAATAGTTTATAGTACACACACATAAACAATTGCTGATAGACAATATTTTCCTGGATTCAGCCTTTTAAACTTTAAACTTCTCATTAAATTCAAAGTTTATAAAAATAGATTATACAAAATAAATATCCCTTTTTCTTCCCTGCCAGAGGAATCTGTTTTTAATGGATTTCCTGCCACAGTTCAAAAATATTTATTCCATAATATTTAAAAAGAAAATTTTTTTTTTGTGAAAATGTAAAATAGAGGACAGAAATAAAATTTGGTTCGATTTTACAACAAATTATAATTCATTTCTTTAAAGGGTTTTTATCACGTCTCAAAATTTTTTGATATGACAAAGTTTACATGCTATTAAAATCATATATTTAAAAATTTTTGCTAGAAAATTAATATTTTTGATGTTTCAGCGATTCAAAGTTTGAATTTCTCAATATGCATATTTTGATCGCCGATGTTACGCGCCATTGCTCTGACGTCATAGGTGTCAATCCTGGTCAAGCGAAGTACTTATTGTGTATACAAAAGGACTCATTTGTTGCGTCTATTAAACCTGTTAAAAATAATTAAGAGATAATTGGATAATTGACAGCTAGTAAGGTATAATTTATGGCTTTAGGATGCATAAATGTGCACAAGAAAGGTTTTAGGAAGACATTTTTTCCACATTTCCTAGAGTTGGTTGAGAGATTAAAAAGAGGGGCCTTTTTCTGCAAATGCGATGGCGTTTATCTCCATTCAGAACAATCGTTTATGCCCGATCGATCACGAATTTTTTTTCTGTCCTACAAAATATTTTAAGGAAAGATACCTTTGAAAAAATAATAAATGACAAACACGCATTTTTTAAAAGTCGCACAGAATCTAGTAGGAATGTTGTAAATTTCGTAATGGCGTACGGCGCCATTGAAGAAGTATCATTTCTAGAACATGATATTCACTGCTGGAACAGATAGAAGATGTACAGCATTTATTTATATAAAATTAATTAAAATAATAATGAAGGAAAATTAATTTAAAATTCCCACATTTATAAATGTGTACGAAGTTAAACTTAAGTAATTCATTCTATTTAGTCGAAGTCCTGAGTTGTCAACGGCTTCGACTTCGGTGTCCTCTCCTATTGTCGGCATATTTTCTGGTTATTTCTCTCTGCTAGACGTTCACACATAAAAGATTGACCGTCCATAACCAAAGGAATATAGTCGATGTCAAAATTTCAACCGGCCATATTGTGTTTTCTAATTATTTAACGTAAAAATCTATTCAATATATTTTTTCTTACGATAAGCCTTACGAGTTCTATTGACCACTGACACCTATGACGTTTCAGTACCACGTGACCCCTATCTAACTAGTGGAGATTTTTAATACGAGGACCCTATATTATGGGCGTTTTATCGTCTTATTACGGCCGTTTTCAAAATTATTTCATAATTAAACGATAATTATATGTTTCAAGAATATAATAGTGTTTCATTTTTAAGAAATTTAGATACGTGATAAAAACCCTTTAAGAGGGATTTATGTTATTGAAGGACCATCAGACACAGTGCCATGTGTATGAACTCCACCACCTGCTCCTATAAGGTCAAGTACCAGTACATCAAGTTCACGGTTGTTTTCATATACCTCCAACACTGACCTAAAGAGAAAAATTGATGAACTTACCGTGAGGAAACTGGAACTAGAAGTAGAATATTATGAACTTAAGATCAAGAAAGCGAAGGGGGAGGAGTAAATCATATACTAGCTGTACTGATCCTTTATTTGCATTTACCCGGTAAAGCATCAAATATATAAAGTTCCATCATTAATCAAATGATTAACATTTCGAATTAAATTTACATGTATTTTCAAAATGAATTTACAATTCATTAAATGCTTTAATGATATGTCTTGATATCTTAATCTATTCATTTATTTTGGGAATTCTTGTATTTTAAATGTTATATTAAAATAAATATTTATCCTGAAGTATTTGACTTGTTTGCCTACTTTATGGAGGTATCCCACACCAAATTTTTATTTACTAGATCTTTTAACCCATCACTTGAAATATGAATTCAGGATTGAAAGAATGTTGAAATTTTTATTTTAAAAAATGAAAATGTCCCATCCTTCTTGACATGTTTAATATTACTTTTTTATAACATGCATTATTTAATCAAATTTAGCTCTTAAGTAAATTTTTATAATTTTAAAGGAGTTGTTTTAAATATCCGAAAAATAAAATTTTGGTGTGTCATACCTCTCCAGTACAGATTCAAAAGTGAGACTCAGCAAACAGTTGTCTGTATCTTGTTCCATCATGATTGCAGTTGCTGTTGGCATTTACAATCTGTCGATGATCCTCCTCCTCCCCATCTTCATCATCTGGTGGAGGGCATGCAATATTGAGGTCTTTGCAGATATTGTGAAGAATGGAACAGGCTAATATAACCTGACATGCCTTTTCTGGTAATAAACGAATCTCACCATGTAGGACATGAAAGCGCCTCTTCAGCTGCCCTATTCCTCTTTCCACCACACTTCTGGTTTTCTTGTGGGCTCTGTTGAACCAATATTGAAAACAGTTTGGATTAAAACAGTTTCTTAGTATTAAGATGAGGTAACAGTTCTAAAATTATAAGCAGGTTGAAATTTCAATGGTTTTTATAAATTAAAAAAAAAAAAATAGATTTTGAGATTATTGTTAATAATTAGGGAATAAGCCTTTATTCTAGCTCCTTACTAAAGAGTAAAACTTAGTGAAATAAAGACACCAATATTTCCAAACTTTCCCATTTTTATTGGTTTAAAATTCCCAGTTAAGAGGGTACAGGACCTGTACAAAAAGGGTCAATTAACTACTGCTTGCTCTTTATAAATACCAATTTGTTTTTTGTTAAGTGATACATGTATATGTAATCATATGCTGACTGACACAATTTAAACATATTTTTTTTTAAAAGTTATCTTTATGAGGGGTGTATACATGTCTCTATGTTTCAGTCATTTATAATATTTAGTAACTAAATTGCATTTCTGTATATAATTATGTGTCCATGAGAAGTAAGAAATGTTTTTTTTAAATACATGTATTATAAAAAAAAGTTTATTTTTAAATTTTAGATTATTTTCAAAAAAATTAAAAATTGAAGATGGCTTGTCATTTGGATTTTATATTCCCCTTCTTATTTCAGCAAGCCATTCTTTTACTATGGGGTTTAACTGATGCGCATACATTTGGATCCACCTCGTAGTTTTGTCTACAAGGGGGCGCTGGACAAGAGAGGGCGCTCGATATGAACTAAAACGAAAGTAGCCTTAGTTGGCAGAAACAATTACATGTTCGTGAATTTTATTGTTTATCTTTTAAATAGCTAAACAATGATAATGTTGTAGATGTTGGATATAGAATAATATTCATTATATGTACCTGTTGTAATTCGTCTGGGAGCCCTGATTTGGTCTCAGAAACGGCGTTAACAGCCAGCGTTTGGAAGGGTAACCGCTGTCCCCGAGTAAGTGAGTATGAAGAGGTAGGTGATTTTGCTCAAATAACACTTTGAGACCACTCTCATTGAGAATACGAGAATCGTGTGTTGAGCCTGGCCATTTAGCAACAACATCAATTATTCTGTAGTTCGGATCAAACACAATCTGAGTGTTAATGCTGTGAAAGTGGTGTCTGTTTACATATTCATTTTCATACTCGTGTGGGGCGATAATCCGAACATGTGTGCCGTCGATGGCTCCAACAACGCCCGGAAATCTAGCAACTGTGAAAAAAATCTTCTTGGTTTTTACGTATGACCAAAGGATCTAGTTGGAATTTAATGAACTGTGCTACAATTCCTGGAGAAGACAGACTTTTAATAGTTGTGGTAATGGCCCAAGACACAGTAGACTGTGAAACCCCCAAGTCATCTCCATTGCATAACTGCATTTTACCGGTGGCAAGAAATCTTAGAGTCAGTAAAATTTTCTGCAGAGGGGATATTGCACGATTTCTCCTAGAACTACTTAAAATTTCATGTCCAATTAATCTCTCTATGAAAAGAATACCAGCTGAATCTATCTAAACCTCTCCACAAGTTCAGCATCACTGTATACTGCTAAACAATCCTTTCTTTCCCTAAAAAATCGTCTGTGTAATCTAATGGCAGCCATTTTCATTCAGTACTTAAGTTTTTCTTATAACTTTAAGACTACTATTGAGTGCTCTTAGATTTAAGAACTATTTAAGAATTTTCTTAGACTTTAGAAGTTTTATGAATAAAACTTAAGATAAAAACAAAGTCTTAGTGTCACTTAAGTATTTTTTATTGGTTTAAGAAATTTCTTGCACTTAAATAAGTTTATTTTAAGAGTGTTTATGAATCTCGCTCCAGGACTACTAATGCTTATAGATTTTGAAAAGGCTTTTGATACTATCTCGTGGAATTTTATTTACAAAACTTGATTTTTTTTTCAATTTTGAAACCTCAATTAAAAACTGGATAAAGACTTTTTATAGCAATATTAAATCCCGTGTCATACAGAATGGTTTTATAACCAATTATATATATCCAGAAAGGGGTTGTAGACAGGGGGATCCTATATCACTCTATCTGTTCCTACTGTGTGCCAAATTTTTGGTATTTTAATTCGCAAAAATAAAGATATAAGAGGTATAACAATAGATGGAGAAGAGTACAAGATTTCTCAGATGCAGATGATAATCACTTATCTCTGATGGATCGCCTGAATCTATGGATGGTATTCTTAGAAAATAAGATTACTTTTCAAAGGTGTCAGGGCTCAAAATAAAGGATGACTGCACTTAAGGACATGCGAAAATTGCGACAAAATAAACTTACAAAACAAGAATTTTTCTTTTAATTGCACGAATGGTTAACATCTAATCTACAACTTTATGTAATTACATTAAATAAAAGTACGTATTTACGAAGTACGAAGCTGTTTTCTAAGGCGAGGGTCACTACAATTCCTTGATTCTCCGTACGATAATGAGGACGCCCACTTTTTCACTGACTTTATACATGGTCAGCGCATGTTTGTCTATTGTTCTCCGTTTAACAGTAGTTGTATATTTGCATAAATAATAATGTGTCAAAAGGAGATTAATAGACAAACATGCGCTCATGGATTAAACGAAAAAAATGCTTCTTTTTACATTCGCTCTCTCTATTGTAACCAAGGGCTGTGACATGTTTAATATTATAATTCACCACGTGATTTCTTACCTCAGGTAATTCTGTGAATACTAAATTCCGTCACGTGACTTGTAAAGTTGCATGTTTTGTGCTAACTAGGACAAATTGCTCGAATATGTTAAATTGTTAGGCATTGATTTAAAAGATTCTTTACTTACATTGACGTCGCTCATATTGTTAATTTCTTTTTTGAAACCTCTGAAAATAGTACTTGTGCCATACAGAATAAAGAGGGAATGGGAAAGAGTGATCACGTATTTTTTAATACATTTCATTGTTATTTATCTAGTCTAATTTTAGACCCATTCTTACAATATTAGCTCCACCTCTCATGCATACCTAATGTATAATCAAGGGCAGGTAAGTGTACATTCTCTATATTTGGAAAGAGTAAGGGCAGAAAACATAGAATCATTTTATTGTATCACAGTCTAAGATCATTTTAATATTTAAATTCGGCTCGAAATTGACAGGATTCTTTCATAAATATATAAAAATGAAATAAGATTATGATATAAAAGCAACAGAAGCGACCGAAAAAGACCCAAAACCAGGCGTTAAGTGCAGTCATCCTTTTCAAAAAACAAAAATGATATGGATTGGCAGTAAAAATTTTTCAAAGGATGTATATCACCATTCTAGATGGAAGTTCTACTGGAGTAGCACAACTTTTGATCTCTTAGGGATTAAATTTTCCGTAGACTTAAATAATATGATTAATCTCAATTATACATCAAAGTTAAGTGAGATTAAAAAAATATTAAATCAGTGGAAACTAAGAAAATTAACCCCCATCGGTAGGTTAACTGTAATTAAGACATTGATTATCCCTAAATTAAATCACTTGATACTTACTTTACCTAATCCATCATTAGAAATTGTAAAAGTATTCGAGGATGAAATTTATTTTTTTCTTTGGCGAAGTAAAGTCCATATAATAAAAAGAAATACTATCATTCAAGACTCTAGAGATAGTGGCCTTAGAATGGTAGATTATTCAGAGTTTATGATAGCATTAAATTCAAGTTGGATAAGAAGATTAATCCATTCAGATTCCAAATGGGTTAAATTACTTCATGCACAGCTACATACAGAGATTAAAAACCTTTGGTGAACTGGTCCAGATTTAACTGCTAAATTATGCAAGAAAATAACAAACACTTTTTGGATAGAAGTCTTTAGAAGTTGGCTTAAGATATGCTTTGTAGAACAACAGAAAGATACAAATTTATTCCAAGAACACATATGGTATAATCCAAAAATCATCGTGGGAAAGTCCTCTGTCTTTCTAAAAAGTTATTTTAATGCTGGTTTTGTTTTCATTAGTGACTTGTTTGACTTTGATAATAATTTTTTAAGCCTTGACACCCTTAAAAATCTCGGTGTGAAAACAAATTTTGTTGAATATTCTGGTTTGAAACAGGCAGTGTTAGACAGATTTGCGAACAAAAACCAAATGAATTTCGCAATTGTATATAGATCAAATATACCAAGTTTTGTGAAGATGTTTTATATTAATATGAAAGGATGTAAAGATAGGTATAACATTCTTATTAACAGAAAGAAAGAAACAAGTACTTCAATTTTAAAATGGAATGAAGATGGATATTTATTCACTTTGCCTGAATGGAGTAAATTTTTTGAACTCCAGTTTAAAGTCACACAATAATCAAAACTTCAGTGGTAACAATTTCAAATTTTACATAGAATAGGTCCAACAAATTCATCTCTTTTAAAAGTTAAGATAAGGGAGTCCCCAGCTTGCAGTTTCTGTAAGACTGACATTGAGTCAATTGAACATCTTTTCGTTGGATATTTTTTTTTATTAAAAGAGCTTTGGAGTGATATTGAAGAGTGGGTTTTGTCTAAGTTTAATATATATGTAGTTTTTGACAGAAAAACAATATTATTTGGTAAATATAAGAACAGGGATACACATAAAGTGCAAAATTAGATCACTCTGATGATTAAAAATTGTATTTTTTCAGGTAAATATAAAAACCATCCAGTTCTAAGTACAATGACTTTAAAAACAATTATTGTGGAAAGAATCTTGATACAGAAATTTTTATTATTGAAACAATGTAAATATACAGAGTTTGAAAATAGCTGGCAGAGAATATGTGATATGTTGTAATTTGCATGTATATAAATTTTCTAAGGAATGAATGTTGTTCATTACCGCCTTAATGTATTAAAAAAAAAAAAAAATTATGCCCCTTTTTTTTTTTTTTGCTTTTTACTTTCTCCCTTCTTTCCCTCTATTTCTCTTTTCTTCTTTTCTCCTCTACCTTATTAAAACAACTTTCACATAAGTGTATGTGTGTAAATGTATATTTATGTATGTAAATGTACTCTGTGTATGGTATTCTTAATAGGAACAGATATGTGTATAAATATGCTTATTTGATATAAATATGAAAGTTGAAATAAACATTAATAAAAAAAGACCTCTCATTAGATATCAGAAGAAGGGCTGATCCCTCAAATTAAAGGCTAAGAGGGACCAAAAGACCTTTCTTTTGGTATCAAGAAAAAGGGGCTAACTTCTTAAACAAGAGGCCCACGGGCCTTATAGGTCACCTGAGTATCATGCAACAGTTTCGCCACAATGGATTCATGTTTTAAACCAGAGGCCATGAAATTCACAATTTCGAAAGAGGCACACTTGCTCATCATAATTTTACATTTAGTAAGCTTACTTAATACCCAGAAAGAGAGCAGAGGATTATCAAAGAATTAATGCATTTTCACTATGTAATCATTAGAGCCCTGACCTAACACCAGAACCATGATGCAGGGGCCATAAAATTCACAATTTTGGAAGAGGCATCCTTATATATCATAACAATACTCTTAGTTCATCAGCTTAATACCCAGGAGAAAAGAAGAAGATTTTCAAAGAATTATTGCATTTTTACTATGTAATCATTAGAGCCCCACCTTAACACCAGAACCCCTGACCCAGGGGCCATGAAATTCATAATTTTGGAAGAGGCACCTTTCATCATCATAACTATAAATCAGTTTGTTTGTTAAATACCCAGGATCAAAGAAAAAGATTTTTAAAGAAATAATGCATTATCACTTTATATTTAACAGAGCCCCACCCTAACACCAGAACCCCTGACCTAGGGGCCATGAATTTCATAATTTTGGAACAGGCACCCTTACATATCATAACTATACTCTTAGTTCATCGGCTTATTTCCCAGGAGAAAAGGAGAAGATTGTCAAAGAATTATTGCATTTTTACTATGTAATCATTAGAGCCCCGCCCTAAAACCAGAACCCCTGACCAGGGGGCCATGAAATTCACAATATAGGAATAAGCACCCTTATTCATCATAACTATGCCTTCAGCTTGTTTGCCCTGGATCAGGGAAGATTTTTAAAAGAAATAATGCATTTTCACTATACATGTATATTCAACAGAACGCTGCCCTAACACCAGAACCCCTGACCCTGGGGCCATGAAATTCACAATTTTGGAAGAGGCACCTTTCATCATCATAACTATGTATTTATTTTGTTTTCATAATATCCAAGAGCACAGAAGAAGCTTTTAAAAGAAATAATGCTTTATCACTATATATTCAACAGAGCCCCACCCTAACACCAGAACCCCTGACCCTTGGGCCATGAAATTCACAATTTTGGAAGAGGCACTCTTTCTCATCATAACTATGTACTTAGTTCATCGGCTTAATACCCAGGAGCAGAGGAGAAGATTTTTGAATAATTAATGCATTTTCACTATATAATCATTAGATACCCGCCCTAACACCAGAACCCCTGACCCAGGGTCCATGAAATTCACAATTTTAGAAGAGACACCTTTCCTCATCATAACTATGCATATTGTTTGTTTCCTAAATACCCAAGAGCAGAGGAGAAGATTTTTTTAAGAATAATGCTTTTCACTACATATTCAACAGAGCCCCACCCTAGCACCAGAACCCCTGACCCTGGGGCCATAAATTTCACAATTTAGGTAGAGGGCTCAATGCTTATTACATTCATGCCAACAGTTTGCCTGCTTGATGCCCAGGAGTAAAGAAGAAGATTTTTAAAGATTGCATTAATTCTGATGGTTTTAGCCCCACCCCTCAGGCCCCAGGGGGGTAGGGGTCATGAATTTCACAATTTTTACTCCCCTTCACATATAGATGCTATGGGCCAAATTTGGTTGAAATTGGTTCTGTGGTTCCAGAGAAGAAGCTGAAAATGCTCAAATGTTAACGCACGACGGACGACGCACGCCGACGGACGAAAACAGATAGCAATAGGTCACCTGAGTAAACTCAGGTGACCTAATAAGGGGCTGAGAGAGGCCAAAATCTTCAATCTGTAAATCTTTAAAGATCAATATTTTGTTATGAATATTAGAAGCAACAATGTTCATCTTAACAATCTTTAAGAAGAAACGTGTGCTGGAGTTTGATTGGCTAAAATTAAGGTTTCTGTAACTTTCTACGTTTTCAGTGATATTCTTTGAAATCTAAAACTTTGTTCTGTATTTTATGAAACCATGAGATTATGTTTATGGAATTATCGAAATTATGTGCATGCAGATGCTCTGGAATCCAATTAGTTTATGCTCATTTTGCTATAATGCATTATCATACCCCCTAAAAAAAGAAAATAAGTTGAATAAGACTATGATACTGAAAATTTGCCTAATTCAATGGAGCTTATAGGGAATAGGGCACCAAAAGGGGATTGGGGAGTGTTTGGGGAACAACTGTAACGTCTCTAGTTACAATTGCCTTCTACAATAATCGCATATGGCATGCTTGTCTGTATTTTCTTTTATCTCCGAAAACAGCTTCAAAACTCTGCTCGAAGACGGGAACATTTGTCTTACATGTACACCGTGAGGTGGTATGTGCTAATCTCTGGCGGATTATATTCTTGGACTTATATTGCCTTAAAATCTGTTTCTAAAATTACATCGCAAAAATATCGTAACGTTTTTATAGGAAATAAAAAAATATATAAATTCACTGCAATATTTAAACATTGATGTTGAATTTTTAAACCAATTCATTTTTTAAATTTGTTCTCTGTCCGAGATTAGTACATACCTTTTCATGATGTGAGTTGAATTTTCTAGTCGGCGAGCAGGGTTTTGACTCTGTTAACGGATATAAGAGAAAATAGACAAGCAATTCATATATCATGGCTGTGTTGATAACTTATCGTTGAAGACAATGGTGATAAACGGTTTGCTTGTGCATTTTCTCTGAAAGTGTAAATAAATTTGATTCTGAGGAGGAGGTACTTCATGTAATACGCAGTTAGATACCTTTTGCTATTATTATAATGTGGGGAAAAATAGGGAAACAAGTGCCTATGTCGGAAACCCACATGTTGGGTTTGCATATGACCACTGTGTTTTATAGCCTTGATACAAAATCATTTAATTAATAATTTAATCATTTAATACAAGTTTAAGGACACTAACAGAGAAACTGCATGTTAACTGTCTTTCCTCTTGTGAAACATTGGAAGTTGAAACTCATACAACATTGCCTATGACCTGAGATTCTGTCACGACATTGACTCAAACACCACTACTTCCTGTCCGCAGCTCCAGCAAAAGACCTTCCCTTTGCAACGTGCTTTGATTCAAATTTTTTTCCCCAACTTTTCCCTACTAGACGCTAATTTTGAGGCTCCATAACTTGCTTCTTCCTCAACAGATTTTGCTGAAAGTTTCAGAGTTTGTGGAATTTATAAGATAATTTTAAACATTTTAATACATCCCATTAATCGATATTCCGTTTTGAAAGAAAATTTAGGGGGTTTGGTTTCCTGACAAAAGCTCAAGACGATAGTAATCGTAGCTGAAAAACTAATCGATTTGAAAAAAAAAAAAATTAAAGCATTGTTGTTGTAGTCATCTTTTTTTGTTTTATTTTTCTTTTTCTTTTTTTAATTTATTATTTTTATTATTATCATTCTTATTATTACCACTTTCAAGATGTTGCAAACGGGGTCAAAAATTAGAAAGCTTAAAAGATCGAAAATTTGAAGATACTTTCCTTTGTATCTTTTAAACAAAATGTTTTGTTAAAACGTGTAAGGTTACAAGAACTAAAATTAACACCAATAAAACAGGGCTGACCCCATAAATTAGGGATCTACGGTCCTCAGAAGTTTTCACCATTTAACTGAAAAAGGTTATGTTTTCGATAGACGTGTTCTTGTTCTAGATGCTATCACCCCGCATCTGCAATATATATTACTGTAATATTCCGGAAATTTATATTGTGACCATTCGGTTTTAGCTATAATGTTTCAGATAAAAACATCGGTGTTGTTATTCCGTCACGACCCGAAAGGTATACAAAGGCTGTATCCCGGTGCAAGCTGTGCTAAGACGTGAACAAACTTTACAGCTTGGGGAGTGAGACAATAAAGAAATAAAGTCAGCTTACAGAAGAGGTTGACCTTGTGAGATAACTACGGTCAACAAGGATAATAATACAAAAGTTGTCGTGTTTTGGAGTGACAAAAACCACTCAGAGGCTAACCAGCAACGGAGGTTAGCCACATGTATTTCGTCTTCTTAACCTGCCTGGCGACAAGGCTGTTATGCACAGTGTGTCTGCCTGAATACGGCTACATTGTAGCAGTGTGCACAGCAGTTAAGGTTTTGCCAAAGGTCAACATGTCCAAAATTTTATTTTTACAGTAGCTCCAAAACTATGTCATTTATAAAGTTAAAACTTTTACAGTTTATAAATGTATCATTGATGAACAGATAGAAAGTATCACTTGATAACAGAAACTTAAAAAAATATTTATCGAGAAAAATTCTTTTTAAAAAAATGCACATATTAAAAAAAAACACACATAATTTATTCCGTACTTTTAGTGAAAGCCATCGTTGCAGAAACAATAAATGTTTATCAATGAAGGGCAAGTTGGACTTCTATAGCCTCTGAAAAGTTGTTTTCCCTGTTTATTTTCTCCAAATGTGAAGATTTGAAACCGAAAGTACATTGCAAATGGCGGATTTTATAGGGGTCTTGTCTTTATACATGTCATGCTTTCTATGACAGCCTTTCAGAGACCATTCACGTCCAACTTGCCCTTCATTGATAAACATATATTATTTCTGCAATGATGGTTTTCACTAAAAGTACAGAATTAAGGAGGTGCATTTTTTTTTTAAATATACCAATTTTTTGATTTTTTTTTCTCAAAAAATATATTTTTTTAAATTTTTGTTTTCAAGTGATATTTTCTATCTGTTAATCAATGATATATTTATAAACTGTAAAAGTTTTAACTTTATACCTCTCATAGTTTTGGAGCTATTGTACAAATAAATTTTTGGACATCTTGGCCTTTGGCAAAACCTTAACGAGGTCCAATCTACTTGGTCTGCTCATACGTTTTCACGCAGAATTGTTTCAGACTCGTCACAGTACCCTTGATTGCCTTCACAATTGAATTCAATAACGTCACAGTTAAAATTACGTCAAAGTGCACTAAAATATTTCGCTTTTCTTGCATACCTGGTAGGCCTGAACTGTGCATGTTGAAAGTTCACTAATTCTGGCATTTCTATCAATTCTTGTGTTTTTATAAATTAATGTTTTAATAAATATGCGACGTTGTAAAATAATTTATTTTGAGATATTGTCAATTTCTGAATAGACCGTTTTCCATAGTCGGTTTTACCCATAATCCTTAGCGCGCGACGCCATCTTGTAGGGCAACTAGAGCGAAGCGAGCAGCGACGCTAATCCTATTAGCATACTGACCTATATTTGCCGCTAGCCATGGTAAACACCTGTGTAGTCTGGGGTTGTACGAACCGATCGAAGGCTGGGGATTCAAGTTTGAGGTTTTATGACATTCCTAAGGTTATCGAACACCAGGGAATCCAAACAAAGGAGCTAACAAGCGAACGCCGAAGAATATGGCTAGCTCGTATAAACAGAGCCGATTTCTTGCCAGATCCATCCAAACGACATTTCAAAGTGTGCTCCGACCATTTCATTCAAGGTAAATATGTTTGTTCATGTAATTATAAATGCACATTGCGCGGTAATTACAAAAAAACGTTGAACATTGTAGCACATTGTTGACAACTCTTAGGTTGTGCACTAAACAAAACAAAAACAAACAAGCAGAGCCAGTTTTTAGTATGTAAAAACAACAATAGGTGAAGTACATTGCTTTTCAATTTATTTTATCTAATATATTACATATGCATCAGTTATCTTAATTCCATAGTACACTTTAATTAATAGTTATAGTAGTAATTTCAAGTTATCTTGCATAATATTTTATGTTTTATACAGGCAATTTTTCTTGCACTTTCAGCTGTTATATCCAATATCCATTTATATACATTACACTTACTTGAATTTATACTTAGATCTATATGTATATAGTCTATATATATTTATATGTGTACACATATTTTTTTTCAGGCATAAAAGCTGATGTGTTTGATAAGACCAATCCAGACTGGGCACCATCACTGAAACTTGGGCCATTAGAGATGAATGGATCAGAGTCTTCTAAGAAACGCTATGATAGAATGCAGGCCAGAAAGGAAAAAAAAGTAAAGTTCCAGACAGCTGAAGCCCTTCTGCAGTTACAAGAAACTCCAAACATTGAGGAGGACATGAGGGAGATAGAGACAACAGACATCAGTGGTGACCCATCAGATTCTGACAAAGTTAACTGCACTTTCTTACTTGAGGGAACATTGGAAAGTAGGAAGAGGAAGGTAGAAAGTGAAGAACAGCAGGAAATTAAGAGACTGAAGCAGGAGAATAACTCACTCAAGGAGAAGCTATGTGCTAGTAAAGGCGACGTTTCTCCCGAAACATTTAAAGACGAAGAAAAGGCGAAACACTACACTGGACTAAGCTATTCCATACTCATGGCCTTGTTTAGTTTTTTGGAGCCGAACATTCTAGGACTGCCCTAACAAAGTTCCAGAAACTGATCCTAGTACTGATGAAGTTGAGACTTAATCTAGGCATACAGGATCTAGGATATAGGTTTAAAGTGACTCCAAGCTGCGTCTCCAAAACATTCTTAGATGTTATACATCTCATGTATGTACGCCTGAAATGTTTGATTTTATGGCCAGCAAGAGAAGAACTGCAGATGTCAATGCCAATGGAGTTCCGAAAATACTTCGGTGTTAAAGTATCTATTATTATTGACTGTTTCGAAATATTCATTGTCAGACCATCAAACCTTTTGGCAAGAGCTGAAACATGGAGTAACTACAAGCATCATAATACTGTGAAATACCTCATTGGAATTACACCACAGGGAGCAGTGTCATTTCTTTCAAGTGGATATGGTGGACGTGTACCAGACAAACACATAACAGAGAACTGTGGGCTTTTGGCAAAACTTTTGCCAGGTGATATCATTTTAGCTGATCGTGGATTTGACATTTCTGAAAGTGTAGGACTTTGTTGTGCGGAAGTGAAAATTCCTGCTTTCACAAGAGGAAAAAAGCAATTATCCCCCTTAGAATTAGAGTCTACAAGAAAAATTGCCCACACGAGAATTCATGTTGAGCGAGTAATAGGACTTGTACGCAACAAGTTCTCCATTCTGCAGGGCACTATTCCAATTGATTACTTGCTTAGCCAAGATGAAAATATTCCCACTATTGACAAAATTACCACTGTGTGTTGTGCACTGACAAATCTTTGTGATTCTGTTGTACCATTTGGCTGAATATTTGAAAAAAAGAGAGGAAAAAACACAAAAAAAAAATCAAAAAAAAAAAAAAAAAAAAAGAACACAAAAAAAAAAATTACAAAAAGAGGAGGAAAAAAACCCGTCGTTGTCTGCTAGACAACCTGATGAGCCCTTACAGGGCGAAACGGTTACCTATTTTTTAAAACAATAAAATGTGTATAAAAATGTTTTTTTCTTTAAAAACAATAAAATGTGTATAAAAATGATTTTTTTTCTCTTGTTCTTACTTATTTCATCACTAAGTGATCATCAGGCCATCATAATTATTTTATAAAGATTATTCCTTAGTTAATAGTACCTACTAGTGACTATTGGAAGATTCTTGTAAATATTTTATATACCGTATATACTTGCCTATAAGTCGGTCCGCCTATAAGTTGGTTGTATTTTTTGAGGTTATTTTGGAGGAATTTGCCATTGACCCGCTTATAAGTCGGTACAAGTTTTTGCCAGATTCAGTTGACAATTTAAAATCAATGCTCTAATGTTTTAACCTGGTTTCGATTAATATTTTTAGAAATAATTTTAATATTTAATTTTAAATCATTAAGAAAAATACATAATGCACACTTAAGATAAAAATAAAGTTATTAAAATATGTAAATACTTGTACTTTATGTATAATCTTAGAATACATAAGTGATATAATACATCCAGACGTTGTACAATGATAATCATGGGAAATCTTTATAAATTACTACAGTTCGCTGTCCAGAAAAATACTATGCTTTTTATGACTCGCCTATAAGTCAGACAAAGAGTTTTGGACCAAAATTTAACTCCCAAAAAACCGACTTGTAGGCGAGTATATACGGTACATAAAAAAATTTAAAGTCATAAATTTTATATGTTCTTTATTTTATTACACAACATTTAAAAATACACTGTTTCGCTCTGTTAGAGCTCATCAGGCCGCCTAGCAGACGACGACAGTGTTTTTTTTTCCCGTTATATATCAACACAAACTTCCACTATTTACACACAAGTTCAGTTTAAGCTGTCTTCTTTCTAGTCCGACAATGTTTACAGAGCCATTTTCCTTTCGGAACTCTCTTGATACCAGCACACTCGAAATGTAACCACACAAAGGGGCAGTTCTCACTGTCACAACCAATGACGTTGTCAGAGTTTTCATCATACTCTTTCTGGCAGACACAAATAATTTCCTTTCTTTGATCCTGCCCAATATTATTTGCTGGTGTTGCAGCAGTCAAAACTTGCTCTTGTAGAGGTCTGGAATATAGCTTTCCAATAAGTTCTGGCAGAATGGCAACTTTAAAAAACACCTCACATTTCCTAGTAATCTCCTCACACAGACTGTTGTTCCTTGCAACTCTTTCGACTAACATGTCTTCATTTGTCCAAACAACAAAGTCACAGAATTCTTTCCCTGTCACAAGCAACTGGCACTGTACCTGGTAATAGTATTGGTGAGTTCTGCTCAGCTCCAAGTTGTTGTTTACAGATTGAAGACAGTCTATTGAATCACTTATTTCAGAATCCCGTTTGCAGTATGGACATTTAATTTCAATAAGAAATTCCCCGCAACAGTCGCAACTACCAATTCCATCTGGACTTGCTCCAATGTATGGGTGTTGTGTGCTAATTATGAAACCCACATCCTTGACTTCAAAATTTGTGTGCGTCTTGGCCATTTTGGTAGCATACTGACAGCGTGCCTTTTCCTCATGGTCACACACCCACTCTGTTGCCTTTGAGGAAAACTTCTTGCCCACTGGATAACAAATGTCTTTAATTAGGCTTTTGGATGGATTTTCTGTAGAAGTTCGGCATACTCTTTTAACACGAGAAGCTGTAATTCGTCCTGTCCTAAAATGAAACCACTGTTTGCAGCTAGCTTGCTCTCTGGTAGCAACTTCACAGTTTACGGCTTCTTCTTCTGTCACAATGATTTTTGAGAATGCTTCCTCACAATGTTTTAACAATCCATCTCTTTGAAGTGAGCTACACTCCTCGTTGTACAGTTCTGAAAGCACTGCTGGATACTTCTTGTCCAAAGCTTGAGGTCTGTAAGACAGGGCAAACTGTGGCACAAGAGACAAGATCACTGGTTTGGTTCCTGCAGTGTTCAGATCTGTGTGGAATTTCTTCAATTCATCTGGTGTTGGGTCTTGTACTGTTGGCAACTTTCGCTGTCTCGGTTCTGGGTTCACAGGGGAATCCTCTGCAATAGCATGATCTAGTTTTCTCTTCTTGGTCTTTGCTGAAGTAAAATCTGTATCCTGCACTCTTTTATATTCCACTTTGTTAACAGCATTAGGTAACATCCAGTAAGCCTTCTCTTCTGTTACTGTCTTTGTATTTCGTATTTTAACACTGGCCTCAATGGCAAACAACAGAGCACCAACATGTGAGCACACCTCCCCAATACCTGCCAAGGATAAAACATAAAAACTTTAAGCCATTTAATCTTAGAAGAAATATTATTAATATTATATTTATTAAAAAGTTATTATGATAAATAAAATAGAGGCACTATAATGAAGACACTGTTTATCATGTTTATGATTATAAAAAGAAGTCATTACTTGTCTAGAAAGCATTTTTTACAAGTCATTCATATTAAAATGTGTGTTGAGAAACATATGTGCAATATATACATACCTGCCATACACGTGCAATGCCCTGATGTCACCGAACCGTCATTTTCAACAATCAACCAGGGTCGCAGGCTAGGGTCTGACATACGCTGGGAATGCTTCACTTTCCCCAAAAATACATTCTTCCCGTTGATGCACTTCTGACCAATGTCCTGGACGAAACCACTCACAAAATAATTGTAAGCTTGCAGAGACTTGTAAGCCTTTAGTTCTGCCAGGGTATATGCACTCTGGGTGTAAACAAGGTAGTTTACGATGTCGGGGTATGTAACTTCTGGCTAGAGCGACATGTCGGTTGTCCATTCCCTCTTATCCATCTCATAAGGATCTTTATCTTCAATTACTCGCAGTTTTTCCATGTACCGGGCCCTCGTGATAGTGTCTAAGGTATCCCGATAACGCTCTTTTGCCCTCGATTCGGATATCCCGCTGTTTTGTGGCTTATCTTTTGTTGACATGATTAAATGCCGCTTCGCTCTAATTGCCCTACAAGATGGCGTCGCGCGCAGAGGATTATGGGTAATAAGGTCACCAATGGAAAACGGTCTATAGAGTTTTATCAGTTTTAACTGATTTTATTTTAATTTTCAGTTTGAAAACCACTGCAACCGATAGTAAACACATGAATAGTCTTTGAACATGTTTATTTGCAATTTTTTTTTTTTTTTTTTTTTTTTTGATAACTTAAAAACTTATATATGTATGCAGTAGATTGACTTAAAAAACTACATGTCATTCAAATGCATCCAGAAAGAAATGTTTTAGTTTCCTACATATTAATAAACTTTGTAATAAATTCTATTGCCTTTAAACCCCTCCTCCCCCGCTCCCCTTCTTTTCTTTAACTTAAAAAATCTTTATGTCAAATCAACTAAAGAATGATGAGGAAATTCTTTCAGATAATCCAAGAAGCATTTAATTTTGAGACACGTATAAAGTACAACAATCCGTTGATGATATCATATAAACGTCTTAGATAAAATGTCAAGTCCCATTTTTGTGTTTTGATATGCCCCCCCTTTCACTACAATAAAGGTTACCCCCCAATTTTCTTTTGATTTTTTAAATGAGGAATGGATATTGCATAATATGTGTTAAAAGCAAAACATTTCATCATTTAGTTTTTTTTTTTATTTGTCAATTCCATTGTTTATTAGGTAGTTTTAGCATATGATTGTGTGTAAAACCACGAAAAAATGGTCCATATTTTGAAATTGCCCCCAATCCACTACAATCAAGGCAAGGTACAAAATTTCAATCTAATTTTTTCTTAGCATGGTACATACAAATTTATATCTAAAATTCAGTAATATTTGCCTTCCCGTTTTCTTAATTTCCAACTAGATTGGGCCTCGTTAAAGGGCTGTAACTTGTACTGACTGTGTCCTGAATAAGGCTGCAGTACAAGCGTCAGTCCGAGGTTAGCCAGTGTAAGGCTAATAGTCTACCCACTGAAATTTACCAAATCATTAGTAACTAGCTGATTTTCTATTCCATATTGTAGTCTTGATAATGAACCTAGATAAGGTTAAGCCATACTATATGTATATATTTGCAGGCCTTTGTTTTCAATAATTTGCGAATCAAAATTGTTATACTGAAATCATCCCCCAAAACCTTGAATTGACAAGGTACGACTCCCCGACAGTAGTTAACATTCAGCTCGACACGTTACATTACTGAGGCGACGAAGGATTCAACAATGTTTACGATACTGAAAATCGTGCAGTTCTATTACATATGATATATTGGTCATTAATATGTACTCTGCTAGTTCACTGTGATTCGAATTTAATATAAATGAGTATTTCAATTAAATAAGTTATTTAAATCTTTTATACACGATGAAATAAAAATCGAAGCAAAATGTTTATTTATATATGTGGTGCGCGAAGCATATACTCAGCTCTTAATGAGGTCGGGGATGACCTGGTGAACTAGGTGAAGCTTAATTTCATCACTGTCAGTAGTTAATAAGAACTGCACTGAGCTCTGATTACAAATTACCGACGGTGGGAACATTCAATTTCATTTTGGAACGATTTGAATTTGTGCGCATTTCGAATAAATTAATTTTAAAGCAATTTGATTTACTGTACAAACATATAGAATAAATCATCGTTGCAAACCACGGTTCAAAATGTATGATCCCTTCCTATATTGAGGAGAAAAGAACCGAAGACGACGTTGCTTGAGACGAAGGCATACGATTCTTGATCACGAGAATTAATTAATGTGACGTTTAAAAAAAGAAAGCCGCTTTCAATTTTGTGTTATCGTCATTTACTGTTGAGAAAATTGTGTGATAATTAAATTGAAGAAAACAAAAATTGAAAAAAAAAAACATATTTATTTTTCTTGTTGTTAAAAAGCGTCATTGTCACATTGATATATTTTAACACTTGCAAACGAAGAGGCAATGTACATGGACTACCATAGTATTAAATTTTAGCGTCATATAAAGCGTAAAATTTTATTTGAAAATGAAGGATTATCTCCGTCATGCATAACTCTGATCCTTCCATGTATTTGTCTCCGGTCTTTGGCACCCCTTTTTCAGCTCTTTAAAAGTTTTTATCTTCTTGATGCTTTGTTTTCTTCTTGTTTTTAGCTCACCTGAGCCGAAGGCTCAAGTGAGCTTTTCTGATCGAAATTTGTCCGTTGTGTGTCGTCGTCGGCGTCGTCGTTGGCGTCGTCGTTGTTGTCGTAAACTTTTCACATTTTCAACTTCTTCTCAAGAACTACTGGGCCAATTTCAATCAAACTTGGCACAAAGTATCCTTGGGTGAAGGGGACTCAAGTTTGTTCAAATGAAGGGCCACGCCCTCCTCCAAGGGGAGATAATTACGAAATGGCAAAAAATTAATTGCATTATTGAAAAATCTTCTTCTCAAGAACCAGTGGGCCAGGAAAGATGAAACTCATGTGGAATTATTGTCAGGTAGTGTAGATTCAAGTTTGTTCAAATCATGACCCCCGGGGGTAGGGTGGTGCCACAATGGACGATCAAAGTTTAACATAGGGATATATAGGAAAAATCTTCAAAAATCTTCTTCTCAAGAACAGCAAAGCAATGATAGGTCATATTTATATGGAAGCATCCTCAGGTGGTGTAGATTCAAGTTTGTTCAAATCATGAACCGCGGGGGTAGGGTGGGGCAACAATGGACGATCAAAGTTTTACATAGGAATATATAGGAAAAATCTTCAAAATCTTCTTCTCAAGAACAGCAAAGCAATGATTGGTAATACTTATATGGAAGCATCCTCAGGTGGTGTAGATTCAAGTTTGTTCAAATCATGACCCCCAGGGGTAGGGTGGGGTCACAATGGATGATCAAAGTTTAACATAGGGATATATAGGAAAAATCTTCAAAAATCTTCTTCTCAAGAATAGCAAAGCAATGATTGGTAATATTTATATGGAAGCATCCTCAGGTGGTGTAGATTCAAGTTTGCTCAAATCATGACCCCCAGGGGTAGGGTGGGGTCACAATGGATAATCAAAGTTTAACATAGGTGTATATAGGAAAAATCTTTAAAGATCTTCTTCTCAAGAAGAGCAAAGCTATGATTGGTAATATTTATATGGAAGCATCCTCAGGTGATGTGGTTTCAAGTTTGTTCAAATCATGAACCCCGGGGGTAGGGTGGGGGCACAATGGAAGATTAAAGTTTAACATAGGAGTACATGTATATAGGAAAAATCTTCTCAAGAAGAGCAAAGTTATGATTGGTAATATTTATATGGAAGCATCCTCAGGTGATGTGGGTTCAAGTTTGTTCAAATCATGACCCCCGGGGGTAGGGTGGGGCCACAATGGAAGATTAAAGTTAAACATAGGAGTATATGGGAAAAATCTTCAACAATCTTCTTCTCAAGAACAGCAAAGCTATGATTGGTCATATTTATATGAAAGCATCCTCAGGTGGTGTAGATTCAAGTTTGTTCATATCATGACCTCCACGGGTAGGGTGGGGCCACAATGAAAGTTCAAACTTGTAGGGAAAAAAGTCACAGACAAAAAATCATGTAAGCATCCTTAGTAAGTGTAGCTTTAATTTTGTTCAAATCATACCCCCCCCCCCCCACTCCCTTTAAGGGGTAGGTTGGGACCACTTATGCATTTAAGCTTTTCAATACTAAACTGATTTTTCCTCTTTTCCTAGCCACAGTGCTCAGGTGAGCGATGTTGCCCCGTGGCCTCTTGTTTTGTTTTTTTTTTTTTTAAATAATATATTTCGGATTTCCAACTTTTTGGCATGAGCATCACTGAAGAGACATAATTTGTCAAAATGCGCATCTGGTGCATCAAAATTGGTACCGTATATTATATACATTATGACTCATGGGTTGAGGCCTCTGCTTGTGGCCTGTTAGTCCCTGAGGATCTCTACAGTCCAATAGCTAAGTACTTCTGTACTAGCTTGAAAATACGGATAAATATTTAATTGCCGTGGTAAAATGTAAAGTTTATTTCAAAATTAAGGATTATCTCTCTTATGCATTTTCTGATCCTTCCATGTATTTGGCTCCAGTCTTTGGAATCTTTTTTCAGCTCTTGAAAAGTTTTTTTTTAATTATCTATTTTGGATTTCCAACTTTTCAGCATGAGCATCACTGAAGAGACATAATTTGTCGAACTGCGCATCTGGTGCATTAAAATTGATATACCGTGTATTATATACATTGAAAAGGAAAATAACTCAATTTCTTGTTAGAATCAGTAACGTAGGTGTTTTATGACATAAAAAGTTCATTTTTTTGTAAAATAATCGTTTTATGCATAATTTGTTAATAACAAATGATTAGAAATGATAAGAAACTTTGTATACATTTTACAGTAAAGTAATTAAGATAATTCTACAGAAAACATCATTCAGTTGGTAATTTTATACAAAATGTTTACTTGAAAAAAGAGGCTTAGTTAAAAATGTTTCTCATTTATTAAATGATTGTACTGACTGGGTGATCGAGAAACTAATGATTTAATTTTAGAGCTAAATTTATGTACTGTGTGTCGTTTTTAAATGTGGGTAAGCATGGAAATAAGAAGTATTTCTTGCCAAACAAGAGAAAATTTCAAGAATCCTGGAAAAATGAATTAAAAAAATGAACTGACTTCAAATATTTAATCAAATATTTGATATTTGTACATACAATGCTCTGTTCCTGTCGAACCTCAGGCCTTTGATTTTTTTCTTAATTTCAAACGAATAATTATATATTTATTGCTGAGGATAAATTAGGCTGATAATCAAATAAGTTGTTTATTGTCCTTAATTTCTTTTTGTTTTTTGTTTTGTTTTGTTTTTTTTTTAAATAATATATTTCGGATTTCCAACTTTTTGGGAAGAGCATCACTGAAGAGACATAATTTGTCAAAATGCGCATCTGGTGCATCACAATTGGTACCGTATATTATATACATTATGACCCATGGGTTGAGGCCTTTGCTTGTGGACTGTTAGTCCCTGAGGATCTCTACAGTCCAGTAGCTAAGTACTTCTGTACTAGCTTGAAAATACGGATAAAAATTTAATTGCCGTGGTAAAATTTAAAATTTATTTCAAAATTAAGGATTATCTCCCTCATGCTTTTTCTGATCCTTTCATGTATTTGGTTCCAGTCTTTGGAATCCTTTTTTCAGCTCTTGAAAAGTTTTTTTTTTCAATTATTTATTTTGGATTTCAACTTTTCGGCATGAGCATCACTGAAGAGACATAATTTGTCGAACTGCGCATCTGGTGCATTAAAATTGATATACCGTGTATTATATACATTGAAAAGGAAAATAACTCAATTTCTTGTTAGAATCAGTAGCGTAGGTGTTTTATGACATAAAAAGTTCATTTTTTTTGTAAAATAATCGTTTTATACATAATTTGTTAATAACAAATGATTAGATTTGATAAAAAACTTTGTATACCTTTTACAGTAAAGTAATTAAGATAATTCTACAGAAAACATCATTCAGTTGGTAATTTTATACAAAATGTTTACTTGAAAAAAGAGGCTTAGTTAAAAATGTTTCTCATTTATTAAATGATTGTACTGACTGGGTTATCGAGAAACTAATGATTTAATTTTAGAGCTAAATTTATGTACTGTGTGTCGTTTTTAAATGTGGGTAAGCATGGAAATAAGAAGTATTTCTTGCCAAACAAGAGAAAATTTCAAGAATCCTGGAAAAATGAATTAAAAAGAATGAAATGACTTCAAATATTTAATCAAATATTTGATATTTGTACATACAATGCTTTGTGCCTGTCAGACCTCAGGCCTTTGATTTTTTTTCTTAATTTCAAACGAATAATTGTATATTTATTGCTGAGGATAAAATAAGTTGTTTATTGCCCGAATTTAGGACATTGTAAAATACTTTGTGTCCTATATATTTTGTTTTATCAACTTAACAATATGTATAACATACATTAAGTAGCTTTTTTGGGAGCTCCTTCAGTTAGTTCGGCTAAAACGTAGTATGAGTCTGCACATTTTGAGCTAAGGCCTGGAACCTTTGTAAAAAAAAAAGAAGGTAAAAATGCATGCTTTTTCTAAAGGTAATTCAGATTCTTAGATTGTAGTAAAACATTCTTTATTTTAAAAAGAACTGACATATTACTTGCAAAATAAAATCTGTTTCATACTTGATTTTCAAAGAAAGGGATAGCTAATATTTTCTTTTTTCATTCAAACTGTTCAAAAAAATTAAACTGACATACTTACGAGTGGCAAACAAGAGGACAAAGGAAATGCATATAAGTGTCTCTCTGAGCAAATATTATACATGAAGATTCACAAGCAGCCTCTGATGGGTCATCTCCAAGTATTCTCTTAATTTTGATCACAATTTCGATAACTTCTTTGTTCTGAGCCATACCTTAAAAATATGCAAAGAATTCAGGGCTTTTTTTATGACTGGCTTATTATGCGCAAAATTTCTAGGAAAACAGATGTATGAAATAGAGTTTTGTGAAACATGCCATGTACAGTACTTACTATCAACGATAAATCTTTTTGATGAGTTAGGTACTGGATCCTTAACATGAATCCTTGAAACTAATTGCCGAAATCTTAAAAACACAACAAACCATATACAAAACATGTAAAACCTTTCTGGAAAGTTTATATAAGAGTTGTAAACTAATTTGCTAAATTTTAGTGATTTAAAGATTGTTACCAAACTCAATACATTCATTCAAGAATTCTTATTAATTTGTATACGGAAAAATTATCTTTTCATATTTTTCAAAAGTAGTGCCCTGTCTTAATTATCCTTTCCTTAAAAAATATATGCAACAACAATTTTTTTCAATAGGAAAGCTCTGTAAATACTTAATGTTTCAATGCAACGCAATTGTGACTTCAGGTCTGAGTACACGGTGAGTAACCGCTGAATAAAAGTAGAGCAGAGGGTGAGTGAACAATGTGTGAACGCTGAACACAACTTTTGAACGGTTATATTTCATAGAGTCGATATCAACTTTCTTATAAATGATTTTTAAATAGGGGCTGAAATAGGTAAAATGTCAAAAAATTGAAAACTTTATGTCAGAGAGAGAGAGAGAGAGGAGAGACTATCTACTGTTAACTCTATACATAATACCAATATATATATATACGAGGGGTTATCAAAAAGTTCGTGGACTGATGCGATAAAATTAATACTATGTAGTCTGTGCTTAAAAAAATTTATGAGAAACATAAAACAACAAAAGTTTATGAAATGTTGAAAATTTTAGCTCGATACGTTGATAATTTTCCAAATTATTCTAAAATAAAAAAGACATTATATGATCACCCGGCGCTGTCGCCGTTTAGTTTCATGACGTCCGACAACGTCATTGTTTCTCATTTCCGCTCACTCTACCTAATACACTTATCTTGATGAGATTACCTGGAGTTAAGTAAGGACTAAAGCCCATCTTGTTTATATGGCTTTATAATGTCATGAACAGCTGCTTTCAATGCATATAATATTGTAAATGGTTCTATACAAAGGGAAAGATCCTCACTTGATTATGCCAGAATACTGAGCTTGTTGGAGTTCAAATTCTACCACACATGATCAACTTCACTTTTCGACGTGACTGACTTTTGACACCCTGAATACAAATCGACATTAACTGTGCATTTTTCATCTCTCTGAATCTTTTTGGCATTTAAAAACAAATACTCTGGATTCATTTTATTTCTCTTTTGCCCATTTTAACATTCCTTAGGTCTATACCAGTTTTTCCGGGTTCGAAACTTTATAGAATGCTGGAAAAAGAAACCCCTCACCTTTTTTGACGTCATTTTCAAGCCTTAATTTTTTGGACACTCCATATACAATTTACGATAAAATTTCATAGAACGTAAAGAATGGGGTAAAAATTGCAAATTTTACAGAACAATTGTGTCGTACAACATGCCCAAAATAACGGGATTTTTTTATGACAAATGCTCATATCAAAAGAGTTTTTCTCAGTTACACTCAGGTAGAAAAAACGTCATATTTGAGGTTGCGCCGCCTGGACATACCATTGCTAACAAAAACATTAAAAATTTATTTTAAAAAAAACCTTATGATTTATGGTTTGTTCTATAGATAGAAAAGATGATGCTAACTAAATGTTTTAAAATTTATTGATGTACCTAAAGCGGTTTTAATCTTATGGCGCTAGTCCACGAACTTTTTGATAACCCCTCGTATATATATATATATATATATATATATATATATATATATATATATATATATATATATATATATATATATATATATATATATATATAAAACATCATTTTTAATAAATCGATTTAATTTTCATTTCAATGTCCTTCTCAACCAGTAGGTGAGCCAGGGAGAAGGGGATCTCCACTTTTTTTTGAATAGCTTTTTCAATAGAGTTTTATTATGTAAATTGAATTTGGAAGCTGCCTGCCCCCCCCCCCCCCCCATTTTGTGGCTATACTGCCAAACACTGGCAGATTCCAGCATTTGAAAAGTAAAATGTACCGAAAAGTTAGAGAAAGGTCCACTCCCAAACCCACGTTGAAAAACGTTTCTACGGGTCTAACCCATCAATTCTTTAAATTAAAAAAAAATTGCAATAATGGGACACTCAGTAGCTATCGGACCTAAGGAACCGTGTATATATATTTCTGCTTTGATTATATCACGTATTTTTTTTAAATATACTCAGGTCAGTTCCTGCCTATTCAATATATCAGTATCACAAGTGTATTTTGATTGAACTTTGATTGCACAGTCAGATATCAATAATCTTTACTGGGAACATTGATTTATTTCAAGTTTGTGGAAATACGGATTTTTAATTTACTATGTAATTTACTATAGTCTATGATTAGATCTTAGAACTACCTGTAGTTCTTCTTTCCATAGTAAGGAAATTCACATTTGAAATGAATACTTTAGCGGCTTCGTAATTATGTTAAATGTGCTTCGATCACAAAGTTGAAATGATCATGTCTCTATGTACAGATATCTGTGATTGAAATATGCATTTTGTCTTAATTGAAATTAAAATTGTTTCATTTAAATAACATTGTAAGTATTTTCATTATAAGTAAGATTTAATAACAATTTCATCAATATTTTCTTAAAATCACAATTTAAAACAAAATATATAAGAACTTTGAAATAACAAATGTATTTCAAAACCTATTTTACATGTACATTTGAGCACACAAACCTTTGATTGACGCTAAAATAAAGTTCTTGCAAATGAAACCTGATCTACAGTTGTATTGATGCAGTTAGCAGAGATTGTTAATTTCATGTCTTCTGTTCCCTAAACCCCATCCCCCTGAACGACTGAGCGAAAAATTATTAAGATTAGTGGAATCTTACAAAACTTACTTTACTCTTGGATATGAAGCTTTCATTAATTAGAGCTTTTTATGACTGTACTTCGCAGTAATAAATTAGCGATATTTAGTTCGTTCTGCCGTTGATGTACATCACACTTTTTTGCCCTTTCTTTTCCTATATGATTAGTTTCTAATATGCACTTACATATGACAAAAGATTGGAAAGATATTCTGATGGAATTCAGACTGTCCAAAAAGATCGTTGCACTGTGTTTCGTATTTCACTTCGTTGTAATCTGTAGCAAGTTGTTTTATCAGTTGATAAACGATACGTTCGATCTCCTCCTGTTCTAAATATGAAAATGATTACTTATTTAGAATTGTCATTGATTATTGATCGATAAAATCATAGATATATTTGCATCAATAAAAGTTATGTCGAAATAAAGGTTTCAAATAATAAAGAAAATTTGTTGCTTAGTCAAAAACAGTGTAATATTTGCAAGAAAAAAATAAATTGTATGCATTCTCAAAACCGGAAACGGGAATTTTATGAAATTTAGTTTATCGTTTGTTCGTCCTCTTAGGAAACCGACCGTTCACGGTAGCTCAGTCGGTAGAGCGCTCGCTCCGTGATCGGAAGGTCGTGAGTTCGAATCTCGGCCGCGACTGACCTAAGTCGATAAAAAATAGGTAGCAACTGTTCCTTCGCCATGCACTCGGCACTTTGAAGTGAAAGTTGCGGGTCCTTCGGACGAGACCTTAAAAACCGATGCCCCGTGTCACGGCAGGCGTTGGCACGATAAAGATCCCTCACTGTTCAATGGCCCTGAGTGCCGAGTAAAGGTCAAAATTTGAAGCCCTTCACCGGTATATGGTGACGTCTCTATATGAGTGAAAAATTCTCGAATGGGACGTAAAAAATATATAATCAATCAATCCTCTTAGGAAAAATAAATTTCAATTTTCTGATAACTTTTTCATGAGATTTCACAAAATGGTACAAAACGATCATATTGATTAAAAGTTGTCACATCGTACATCTAAAGTATTAGGAAGTGTTTCGGAGATCTTCTCTTTGTTACTCTACAAATTTAAATACTTACCCCTCAGCTCAAGCTGTTGTTTTTGGTGAACTGAAAAGAATGGCGATCAAATAAATTGTCAAAAATGTAACAAAGGCACTGTAAAATGCGTTATTTTTATTAGTTCCCATTACATACCAGATGCTCCGAAAACAGCAGGCAAAATAACAACAATTAAAATCTTCATTGTTCCTAAAGCGAGAATCAAAGATTAAAGATTTTTATGGCAATAAAGGAGTAGAAACATGTATAAAACACCTTTGATATCGATAAGGATAGAAAATAACTCAAAGATTTGTCATAAACCTGAGAAAAATTGTATCATAATGAACAACACAACATAAAAAAGAAAAGAAAAGAAGAGGACCAGGGGCCTTAATGGTCACCTGAGTATAATAGAATAATGTAAAAGATCCAAAGATGTTTGAAATAAATAAAACAAATTAAACTGATAGTTGAAGCTATTTTTGCCCAAAAGGAAGACAGGTAGGATAATAAGGGATCAACAAAATGATTAGTCTAGTACTCACTAACAAACTTTAAGGTAGATGTAGTTACTTACTTGTACTTGTCCCCATTTGTCACTATCACCATGCAAAGTAAACAAAATAATACTCCTTAAGCACTATTAATAGACCCAAAACATTCTTTGTTACATTTTCTCTCTTCAGTCTTTGTCTTTGAAGAACATTTAATGTACAAAGATAAGGTATTTTTGTCTTATTTTTTTTTTAATTTATCTACCATTTACAACCTACACGACCATTAAAATCTGAAATTACTTTTGTATTATCTATAAGAAAAATACAATTGACTTTTCAAATTACATTATTTTCAGTGATTAATTATCATAGGTGAATTTGCAGAGGGAAACTTATTCTCTCAGAAGAATACAAATTAATAGAGCCCTTCCCAGCACCAAAACAGTCGACTAAGTGGTCCAGAATTTCCAAAATCTGGTAAAATCATTTCAATGTACTCTGTCCTCTAGATGCCCAGGCCATTATCAAAAATATTTCTGTTTGATGTTTTCTGACTTAAACTGTTCAAGATATTTTTTTTCGGGGGGTGGGTGGGGGGGGGGGGGAGGGGGTATCTTAAAAAAAAAACCCTGATAATTGTCATAAAAATCACAAACTTATAAATTTATTGATGTTTTTTTATTACACTAGACAGCTTGACAGGTTTAATATTTATTTCTGTAAAAACTTTCAGTCGTAAAATCATCTCCGGAAAAATAAACCTTAACTTTAAAAATGAAGCAATCTTATTTCCCTGGATATGAAGAAAAAAAAAATAAAAAATGTAAAGTACTTGAAAAAAATGATTGCGTTGGGGCGATTTTAAAGGGCCGGTCGGAGTGCATCAACAAAACATTTTCATTGTTGGCCCCAGGAGCAGAGAAGGAATTTTTTTTCACTGTATAATCAATAGGACCCCATCATAACACCAGAACCACTGAACCAGAGGCCATGAAATTCACAATATCAGAATAGGCAATTCTGCTTATCATTATTATGCACTAAGTTTATCTGCTAGAAACCAAGGAGCAGAGAAGAGGATTCTCAAAGAATGCATTTTCACTATATAATCAATGGAGCCCTGCCCTAACACCAGAACTCCTAGGCCTTACCCAGGGGTCATGAAATTCACATTATAGAAAAGGCACAGTAGCTAATCATAAATATGCACCCAGTATGTTTGCTAAATATCTAGGGGCAGGGAAGTATATATTTAAAGAAATAATGCATTGCCACTATATATTTAAGAGAGCCCCGCCCTAACACCAGAACCGCTGACCCAGGGGCTATATGATTCACAATTTTGAAAGACCCATCCTTGCTCATCATAACTATGCAATTAGTTTTTCCGCTAAATAACCAGAAACAGAGCAGAAGATTTTCAAAGAAATGATGCATTTTCACTATATATTCATCAGAGCAAACACCAAACCCCTTACCCATGGGCCATGAAATTGAAAGTTTTGAGAAAGGCATGCTTGCCCTTCATAAGCATGCAATTAGTTTGTCTGCTAAATAACCGGGGGCAGAAAGGAATATTTTCAAAGAAATAATGCATTTTTAATATATTCATCAGAGCCCTGCCCTTACACCAGAATCCCTGACCAAGGGACCTTGAAATTCACAATTTCACATTCTTGCTCATTATAACCATGCAATTAGTTGGTCTGCTTAATACCTAGTAGCAGAGATGAAGATTTTCAAAAGAATAATGCACTTTCACAACATTTTTAATGATAAATTTTTATCATGATGCCAATTGCAACATCATATGGGTTAAAATTTATTGAATTTTTTTTCAACTGTTACAGATCATTCGATGATTATTTTTTTAAAAAAAAATAGTTCATGATATTTTTCTCACAAAATTTTATAAAACGAAACATAAAATATCGCCATTTGTTATGTTTTGTATTGTTTTCACATTTCCCTAATCCACTCAAAATCCCAGTTTTAACTTCGTCCTATGATACCGATGTATTTCATTTGCATTGGTAATGGGAATTGAAGGGCTCGTGGAAAAAAAAATCGACTTAAATTGTCTGTATATGTCACTGTCTATATCTAATAGCGAATTCAAATCTGTTACCTTCTTGTTCTCCAACAATTACTGAAAAACAAACCTCTCATGGAATACGCATACATTTATACGTTGAAAGAGGTCACGTTCTTTATTAACGCAAGGTTATATTAGGCTGCTCACATCATGCATTGATAAGAATATACTCTAGATAAAATTGCCACTCAATATTCTGTATATTTAACATTTGTGTTATCGGCACAATTAAATTTAATATGCCATTTTGTCCAATGGAGTCGACTCGTCTAGGAGTCAAAATAATCCCATCAAATGACCATCTTGTCCGCAAACCAATTTCTCGATCCTGATTGCGCAGCGTAACGTTTTTGTACTGATATAAAGCTAGAGGTTACCGTTGGTGGCCAGTGAAGATTGGTGTCCATTTCCCTAAAATTATGTAGTGCCATATGTTTATCATATTCTAGTAGTTATTCAGTGTTTCGGCATTTGTACTCGGTCCATCACACTTCCAGTTGCCTCAAACTTGCGATAGAATCTTGCAGTAATCGTTTGGTGTGTATTGCATTCCGTAGCCACCTATAGAAAACATTTTTATATTTGTTAATTTAATCGCAGCATTTTCTAACTAGATGAAACAATGAGAGTCAGAATTTTGGAGAAAAATAGCCTTACCACAAATAGCCCTACTTTAAGTACTCAGTTCCGTAGACAACGAGAAGAATAGTGGATTAGGAAACTACATGTAAGCTTTGCATTTCCAAATAGTTGCAATAACCACATCTATAATGTAGGAAAATTTTCAAGCCCACACTGTGCCAATGGGAATGTGATTAGATTTTTGATAGTACACGAAGACGTAAACGCAGTCACTGACATCGTTCATTCAAAAAAAGTGAAATATACACGATTTCTCATTTGATTCACTCTACCTTTCGCCAGGAAACAATTAGGTCAACATCACATAAGCACTAAACTTTACACACCCTGTGTCCTTGAAACTTTTAAATTGATAAATTATCTATACTTGGATTCTTAAATACCAAAATACAGACTACTGTTTGATTATGGATGTTGTCCAACACAGTTTCTTAAGCCGTCAAGTCTTACGGATTATATTAATTTAGAAGCAACCCACAGATTTCTAAAGCTTAAACTTGCTAACAAAGGTACAGAAGCTGTAAACATTCGCAAAACTCTTAATAATAAAAAAAGTTCAATCATAAATTCATTTAAGTCATTTTTGAAGTTGAGGAGTACACCTTGTATTTTGTACAGATATTCTCCAATCGTTGCATCCAAAATTTTCAATCATAAACAAACTCTAAGTGCGTATATATTGATCATCTAAAATAAAACCCTCCTTAGTCTTCTTTTCAATTATAGTCCAACTGGACACATCATTACTGTTGATGTATGAATAGTGTAAAATGACGACCTAAAAGCTATTTTTAAAAAAAATGCATAATTCAGGGAGCCTAGATCTTTCAAAGAAACTTCATTTCTATTACGAATTCCGTCGAGGAGTATGCTAGACATCGGGCTAAATGTGAACAGGAAGACATTGACACTCTGCCAGAATGGATTGAACGTTTTAAATATATATTAAAGAATCACAAAAAACAGAATCTGCAAAAGTA